TTAGACCATCACTGACACCATCAAGCTGATTCACAGTACAGTCCTGGAGATGCTTGGATACAAGATGGACATGGTACCTAAAAACCAGTACCCGCTGTGGAAGAGATGGCTGGCGGCCAAGATAAACAGAGAGGCACAGAAATGATTTGGTGGGAACACCAGAGAAGCCAAGCACCAGCTACTGGTCAATAGAGCAATCACCGAGACTGCAAGAGCAGAAAGACCAACCTGTGCACCGCCTGGATTGACTACAAGAAAGCCTACGACTTGGTGCCACACATATAGATACTGGAATGCCTGGAATTATACAAGATCAACAGGACACTAACGGCCTTCATAAAGAACTCCATGGAAATGTGGAAGATGAACCTGGAGGCCAACTCAAAGCCCACTGCCCAAGTCAACATCAAATGGGGCACATACCAACGGGATGCACTGTTACCACTGCTGTTCTGCATAGACCTGATTCCCCTCAGTCAGATCATCAGGAAGACTTGCTATGGATACTGATTCCAAAGTGGGGTTAACAATACACCACCTGCTCTACATGGATGACATCAAGCTCTACGAACAGAATGAGCGAGAAATCGACTCACTGATCCACACCACCAGGATCTACAGCAAGGACATGGGGATGACATTCAGATTAGACAAGTGTGATCAAATGGTATCAAAGAGAGGCAAGATGATCAGAACTGAAGGAGCTGACCTACCAGAGGGCAACATAGGAGATATCCAGGACAGCTACAAGTACCATGGGATCCCACAGGCCAATGGAAATCATGAGGAGGCCGCAAGGAAGTCGTCCACAACCAAATACCTCCAGAGAGTAAGGCAAGTCCTGAGGAGTCAGCTGAATGGTCAGAACAAGGTTTGAGCCGTCAACATGTACGGACTGCCAGTCATCAGATACCCAGCTGGGATCATACGCTGGCCAAAGGAGGAGATAGAAGCCACAGATATCGAGACAAGAAAGCTCCTCACCATGCATGGAGGGTTCCACCCCAAGTCCAGCACCCTGAGGCTATATACTAAGTGGAAAGAGGGGGGCCGAGAACTAATAAGCATCAGAGCCGCTATCCAGGATGAAACATCCAAAATCCAGAAGTACATCAAGAGGATAGCCCCAAAGGATTAGCTGCTAAGTGAATGCCTCAGACAACAGAAACCTGGTGAGAGCAAAGAGGTGGAGGAGCAAACAACATGGAGGGACAAGCCCCTACATGGTGCATAGGAACATCAGATAGTGGAAGTTGCCAATATCAGGAAGACCTACCAGTGGCTGGAGAATGCTGGACTGACAGACAGCACGGAGGCACTAATCATAGCAGCACAAGAACAGGCCCTAAGCACAAGGGCCATAGAGGCCAGGGTCTACCACAACAGATCAGAACCAAGGTGCAGGCTGTACAAAGATGCCCCTGAGATGGTCCAGCACATTGTGGCAGGGTGCAAGATGCAAGCAGGATCAGTGTACATCGAGAGGCACAACCAAGTGGCTGGGATAGTGTACAGGAACATCTGTACCCAGTATGGACTTGAAGTACCAAAATACCGATGGGGAGACATTGGGGAGCACTGTTGCCATGAGGGGGGGTACTTGGTCTGCAATGGTTGGTGGAAGATGACAGCTGGTATCCACATGAATGCCAGAACCAAAGGTTTCCCAGCAGAACAATGCATTGGAACAAAATGATCAAAGTTACTCACTTCACCCTCGCTGATGGGTGTATATGTATGTATATATATATATATATAGATATATATTTACACACACACACACACACAGACTCACATACATAGCCTATACAGTAAATGGATATGAATAACAGTGGTGAGAAATCATCACCATTGATTACTGTTATACCTGGTCTGACTGCATCCTCACAGCGTGGCACACTGCAGTACTCCCAGTGGCTTTTAGAATCAGTAGTGTAACACCAGGGTCTTCTCTCATTGTCAGGGTTACGACAGTAGTTGCTAACCAGGCCTCTGACAAACAACAGACAGTAATAATGATAAACACAGGCAAACCAAACAATGTAGGCAACATGCCATAGGTCCCTCTTTTATCAAGAACAACATTTCTCAGTTACAGTAGCTCTTACTTTCCGGGATTGTTGCCTGGCGTACGGTCGTGTTGGTGTGGCGTCTGAGCCGACCACCTCTGGCATGTTTTGCCAGATTCAGTTACAGCAGTGGTGCCTCGGTATGCTTCACCTTTACCGGTGAAACAGGTCAGATGTGGGACGAGAGTGGGAGGCTTGGATGCTGAGCACAGAAGATGAGATGGATTGGTTATAGAACTCAAAGAAAATACAAGTAAAGTGGTAGCATTTTGAATAATGTCAAATTACAAAATGAATCTGACAAAATTGCTGCTGTAACAGCCATTCATATACAGTACAGGCCAAAAGTTTGGACACACCTTCTCATTCAATGCGTTTTCTTTATTTTCATGACTATTTACATTGTAGATTCTCACTGAAGGCATCAAAACTATGAATGAACACATGTGGAGTTATGTACTTAACAAAAAAAGGTGAAATAACTGAAAACATGTTTTATATTCTAGTTTCTTCAAAATAGCCACCCTTTGCTCTGATTACTGCTTTGCACACTCTTGGCATTCTCTCCATGAGCTTCAAGAGGTAGTCACCTGAAATGGTTTCCACTTCACAGGTGTGCCTTATCAGGGTTAATTAGTGGAATTTCTTGCTTTATCAATGGGGTTGGGACCATCAGTTGTGTTGTGCAGAAGTCAGGTTAATACACAGCCGACAGCCCTATTGGACAACTGTTAAAATTCATATTATGGCAAGAACCAATCAGCTAACTAAAGAAAAACGAGTGGCCATCATTACTTTAAGAAATGAAGGTCAGTCAGTCCGGAAAATTGCAAAAACTTTAAATGTGTCCCCAAGTGGAGTCGCAAAAACCATCAAGCGCTACAACGAAACTGGCACACATGAGGACCGACCCAGGAAAGGAAGACCAAGAGTCACCTCTGCTTCTGAGGATAAGTTCATCCGAGTCACCAGCCTCAGAAATCGCAAGTTAACAGCAGCTCAGATCAGAGACCAGATGAATGCCACACAGAGTTCTAGCAGCAGACCCATCTCTAGAACAACTGTTAAGAGGAGACTGCGCCAATCAGGCCTTCATGGTCAAATAGCTGCTAGGAAACCACTGCTAAGGAGAGGCAACAAGCAGAAGAGATTTGTTTGGGCCAAGAAACACAAGGAATGGACATTAGACCAGTGGAAATCTGTGCTTTGGTCTGATGAGTCCAAATTTGAGATCTTTGGTTCCAACCGCCGTGTCTTTGTGAGACGCAGAAAAGGTGAACGGATGGATTCCACATGCCTGGTTCCCACTGTGAAGCATGGAGGAGGAGGTGTGATGGTGTGGGGGTGTTTTGCTGGTGACACTGTTGGGGATTTATTCAAAATTGAAGGCACACTGAACCAGCATGGCTACCACAGCATCCTGCAGCGACATGCCATCCCATCCGGTTTGCGTTTAGTTGGACGATCATTTATTTTTCAACAGGACAATGACCCCAAACACACCTCCAGGCTGTGTAAGGGCTATTTGACCAAGAAGGAGAGTGATGGAGTGCTGCGGCAGATGACCTGGCCTCCACAGTCACCGGACCTGAACCCAATCGAGATGGTTTGGGGTGAGCTGGACCGCAGAGTGAAGGCAAAGGGGCCAACAAGTGCTAAACACCTCTGGGAACTCCTTCAAGACTGTTGGAAAACCATTTCAGGTGACTACCTCTTGAAGCTCATGGAGAGAATGCCAAGAGTGTGCAAAGCAGTAATCAGAGCAAAGGGTGGCTATTTTGAAGAAACTAGAATATAAAACATGTTTTCAGTTATTTCACCTTTTTTTGTTAAGTACATAACTCCACATGTGTTCATTCATAGTTTTGATGCCTTCAGTGAGAATCTACAATGTAAATAGTCATGAAAATAAAGAAAACGCATTGAATGAGAAGGTGTGTCCAAACTTTTGGCCTGTACTGTATATATATATAAAAGCATAATTATAAGGCTACGAAAACCAAACGAATTTTATTTTATAGCGATTATACACTTGTATAAACATATTAATGGGTAGAATATTCAGAATCAGATTCAGATTGACAATAAACCATGCCAAATATTACACACTGGCCCTTTAAAGGATGAGTTTAACCTAATCTTGTTAGAATCCTAGACTGTCAGACATTTAACTTGATTTCTGAGAGGTGATTCAAGCAGTCAGGTTTTATGAGAAGATCAACTCTAAAAATTGGCTTTTAGCAAAAAGATTCTTAATCTCTCTGCTTCTTGACGTTTTGGGGCTGCTGTGTAAACTAAGTGTGAACACATCAAAGTCAACAAAATCTCTTATAAATGCATTTTGTCTCATCTCATAATACATCCTGACTTGATTAATTGATGAAAATAGTATTGAAAAGGCATATTTAATCAACATGGTCAAGGTTGTCCTGATGAGGTGCTCTCACAGTGAAGCAAAGTAATGTCTATATTACTTTTATTTATAATTTAGGGCACTTAAATTTTTGTGAACTACTCATTATTATCATTCAGAGGTACCATTATATCTTACCAGTGCAGGTTAGGGCTCCCAGGAGCAAAGCTAGTTTGCACAGGTCCATGATGAAGCAGCTGACAAAGTCACTGAGGTACCTCCTGGGATGTGACTGCCCTCCTTTAGCATCTCAGAAAAATAAATAGGACGGCTCAATCTATTTTCAGTCAATCATTGGTCAGACAAGAACAGCAAACAAACATCAGGCTTCTTTCAATCACGTGACCTCCAGTAAAATGCTGAGTACCTTTTCTGTTGTTGTTTTTCGTTATATCTCATTTATATATGAGGCACATTGTGTTGCTGTTTATTGTGTATGAAATGCACTAAATAAATAAAGATTACTTTTTTCCTTATCAATATGCCAATTCTTTCTCTTTAACTTCAGTGGAATTTGCATCCATCCTGAGCATGTTTGTACAGTGTGTCCTGTGTGACATTCAAACTTTAATAATAGTATAAGTAAATGGTTTAATCTTCTTGATTAGATGATTATAGACTTGATTGTCATTTGACTGATGAATACAATGTGATCTAGATTAAATCTCATCAATGTGTAAGATGAAGTTAATCTTCAACTAAAAGGGACCAGGGCCCTCTACTGCAAACATATATTACAAAACAACGTACTTTAGACTCCTCGGTGGGTGTTAAGTTTTAGTGACAACTTTTCAACTCTGGAAAATTGTGCAATTGTCTTTCTAAAAACAATTTAAGGGCCAATTTAAGTCAAATTCTTGACTAAGTTAATGATGAGTATCTTCTGTGTATATGTGTCTTTAAGGAGGCTCATGAGTTGATTTTCTTACACAATGAGCACCTCTTATTTTAATACTTAAAGTATTTTTGTGAATAATTATTTTTAACACGGAAATCCAGATACCCCGCCCGTAGCAAATTCGAATTTGCTCTGCACGAGGATCTGGCGCAGACGAGCAGAGCCCGCTGAATCGCCAATTGGACCAATCAGATCAGTCTATCTGACAGAAGCGGGCTCTGGGCGGGTGTAACACGATGACAGTGCTGCGCCATAGGAGTCGAAAAGTAAACAGCCAAGATGGCAGCCGCCTAAGGACCGCGTCCATACAATGTAGCTTTGGAAGAAACGCTAAGCCAACTACACTTATCTTTTTCCTTGAGAGAGGAACAGAAGACTGCCCTAGAAGCATTCGTTTCCAGGAAGGACGTTTTTGCCGTTTTGCCGACGGGATATGGCAAAAGCATAATATATCAGTTAGCCCCACTGGTCAACAAACAAATGGGGCTTAGTGCAATGAATACGTCACCTTGTTTTTTGCTCTGATTGGCCATCGTGTTATCCAACTGCATGCAGCAGCATTTAATATGCTTCAGTTAGTGCCGCTCCTTGGGTAGGAAGGGTGTATTGGTGAGGGCCAGACTCAAAATCTTTCTAGATTTGAGTCTGGATTTCCAGGCTAAGATATTTTACTTCTTTTGTTTGTTTTTTGAATGTAGAACATTGTTCCAGGCTGGTATGTGGATGCGGTAGCTGCTTCATCCTAGTAGCAATTGGTAAATTGGCAAAAATAAATAAATGAATACTACTACTACCACTACTACTACTATTACTACTACTACTACTAATTTTCTTTGAAGCATGACTCCATCCCCCATCTCATTTGTATTAAGTTTTATTTTTCAGCTCTTACAGAGACACCTTTACATGCCAAAACCAGAAACATGATTGGCTTATTGTGTATACACCAGAGGAAACAAAACATCTGTTGACATCAGACAAGTATCAGAAATCAGAAAGTATCTTCAAAGAGCACAATAAACAGTTACTTTCTGCGACTGAAGCTACAGTATTTTTTGTAAGGTGGGTAGTTTTAATTGTCTTCAATGGTTTTGTTGATCCAGTCGGCAAATGTGGAGACTCGAGCGTAGATGCCGGGTCTCATAGGAGCGGCGCATCCAGCACCCCATGAAGTCACACCCTGCAGGATGTAACTGTTCTGGCTATTACACACCAGGGGACCACCGCTGTCACCCTGCAAGGAGAACATATAGTTTTCAGTCCAAAACTAGACTGGAAAAGAACACCAGTGAAGCATGAAGGAAGAAAAGTTTTAGATCACAGAACTACAAGTGACAGAGATATGGAAAATGTATATTCACTAACAGATGTAGGTAAAATATGTACAAACAAATCAAGATTTATATCTAAAATCATATACCCTGGGTCTTATATTACACCTTTGGCAATCATTGCAGATGATTACAATAACATGTAGTTAATGAAGTGCTGAACTCTGTGAGTCCATTAGAACAAGAAGCCACTTGCTCGGACAGTTTAGTCCAGTGAAGTAACATAATGGGCAGTTGTACTGAACAATGTGGCTGAATGATTTTACTTNCCATTAGAACAAGAAGCCACTTGCTCGGACAGTTTAGTCCAGTGAAGTAACATAATGGGCAGTTGTACTGAACAATGTGGCTGAATGATTTTACTTTATAATAATTAGATTTTTCATAAAAGTAATGTTTTATTTTCCAGGTCTGTAATGTCCTAATACTAAATAAAGTGCTACTGTATCACAAATGAGACCATGGTCAACAGCAATACACAGCACTATGTAGTTTTCTAAGATATTCCCCAGTTTTTGTAGTTTTTCATACCTTGCAGGCATCCATTCCTCCCTCATTGACTCCAGCACACAATTCATCTTCCTTGATTTCCCCGTTCATGTACCGTGGACTATTACAGATCTTGTTCTCGATCACTGGGACTCCAGTTTCCTTCAGGACGCCTGCACCTGCCGTACCTGCAACACACCTCAACATAGTTATCCAGTTTCTAAATGAAACAGCAACAGAAAGTGACACATAATGAGTAGTCTTTCATTACATTATCATCATCTTTACAATTAGTTCATTAACAAAAATAATCAGACAGCAGGATTCTTGAGAAGAGTTTTATTCATTATTTTCAGACCACATACACATTAATATGACCATCCATGTTATTCTGTACGATGATGCCTTAGAAATAAATATGATAGTGTGTCACATTTTAGGTAGGCTAAGCTTAAAGAATTTATCATGGGGGCTGCGTGTAAAGTACTGTATACTGATCACACCGTTGTTCACAGTACAGTTGTTTGAGGTGCACAAAATTTAAAGTAGTTACTATGAAACAAATTTGGAAC